GTCAGTTGTGTCTGTAATTTTTGACTCAGTTGTGTTTGTAACAGCTGACTCAATTGTGTCTGTAACAGTTGTCTCAGTTGTATCTGTAAGAGTTGACTCAGTTGTGTCTGTAACAGTTGACTCAGTTGTTTTTGTAACAATTGACTTAGTTGTGTTTGTAACAGTTCACTCGGTTTTGTTTGTAACAGTTAACTCAGTTGTGTTTTTAACAGTTGACTCAGTTGTGTTTTTAACAGTTGACTCAGTTGTTTTTGTAAGTTGACTCAGTTGTGTCTGTAACAGTTGACTCGGTTTTGTTTGTAACATTTGACTCACTTGTATTTGTAACAGCTGATTCAGTTGTGTCTGTAACAGTTGACTCAGTTGTGTTTGTAACAGTTGACTCAGTTGTGTTTGTAACAGTTGACTCAGTTGTGTTTGTAACAACTGACTCAATTGTGTCTGTAACAGTTGACTCAGTTGGGTCTGTAATAGTTGCTTCTGTTGTGTTTGTTAACGTTGACTCAGTTGTGTTTGTAACAGTTGCCTCTGTTTTTTCTGTAACAGTTGACTCAGTTGTGTCTGTAACAGTTGCCTCTGTTTTGTTTGTAACAGTTGACTCTGTTGTGTCTGTAACAGTTGACTCAGTTGTGTATGTAACAGTTGACTCAGTTGTGCATGTAATAGTTGACTCAGTTGTATTTGTAACAGCTGATTCAGTTGTTTGTAACAGTTTACTCAGTTGTGTCTGTAACAGTTGACTCGGTTGTTTCTGTAACAGTTGACTCACTTGTATTTGTAACAGCTAATTCAGTTGTGTCTGTAACAGTTAACTCATTTGTGTTTGTAACATTTGACTCAGTTTTGTTTGTAACAGTTGACTTAGTTGTGTTTGTAACAGCTGATTCAGTTGAGTCTGTAACAGTTGACTCAGTTGTTTTTTTAACAGTTGACTCAGTTGTGTTTGTAACAGCTGATTCAGTTGTATTTTTATCAGCTAATTCAATTGTGTTTGTAACAGTTAACTAATTTGTGTTTGTAACATTTGACTCAGTTTTGTTTGTAACAGTTGACTCAGTTGTATTTGTAACAGCTAATTCAATTGTGTTGTAACAGTTTACTAATTTGTTTTTGTAACATTTGACTCAGTTTTGTTTGTAACAGTTGACTCAGTTGTATTTGTAACAGCTGATTCAGTTGTGTCTGTAACAGTTTACTCAGTTGTGTTTGTAACATTTGACTCAGTTGTGTTTGCAACAGTTGACTTAGTTGTGTTTGTAACAATTAATTTAGTTGTGTTTGTAACAGTTAACTCAGTTGTGGGGCAGCACGGTGGCGCAACTGGTAGAGCTGCTGCCTCTCAGCGAACAGGTCCCTGGTTCAAACCCCGGTCCAGGGGCCTTCTGGGTGGAGTTTGCATGTTCTCTCCGTGCATGCGTGGGTTTTCTCCAGGTACTCTGGTTTCCTCCCACAGACCAAAAACATGCATGTTAGGCTGATTGGTAACTCTAAATTGTCCCTAGGTGTGAGTGAGAGAGTGAATGGTTGTTTGTCTCGTTTGTCTCTATGTGGCCCTGTGATGGACTTGCGACCCGTCCAGGGTGTACCCCGCCCCTCGCACAGTGATTGCTGGACATGGGCACCAGCGACCCCCGTGACCCAAAATGGAATAAACGGGTAAAGATAATGGATGGATGGACGGAACTCAGTTGTGTCTGTAACAACTGATTTAGTTGTGCTTGTAACAACTGATGTAGTTGTGTTTGTAACAGTTGACTCTATTGTGTCTGTAACAGTTGACTCAGTTGTGTTTGCAGAAGTTGACTTAGTTGTGCTTGTAACAATTGATTTAGTTGTGTTTGCAACAGTTGACTCAGTTGTGTCTGTAATAGTTGACTCAGTTGTGTTTGCAACAGTTGACTTAGTTGTGTTTTTACAATTAATTTAGTTGTTTTTATAACAGTTGACTCAGTTGTGTCTGTAACAATTGATTTAGTTTTGTTTGTAACAATTGATTTAGTTGTGTTTGTAACAGTTGACTCAGTTGTGTCTGTAACAGTTGACTCAGTTGTGTTTGCAACAGTTGACTTAGTTGTGTTTTTACAATTAATTTAGTTTTTTTGTAACAGTTGACTCAGTTGTGTCTGTAACAGTTGACTCAGTTGTGTTTGTAACAGTTGACTCAGTTGTGTTTGCAACAGTTGACTCAGTTGTGTTTGTAACAGTTGACTCAGTTGTGTTTGTAACAGTTGACTCAGTTGTGTTTGCAACAGTTGACTTAGTTGTGTTTGTAACAATTGATTTAGTTGTGTTAGCAACAGTTGACTCAGTTGTGTTTGCAACAGTTGACTCAGTTGTGTTTGTAACAGTTGACTCAGTTGTGTTTGCAACAGTTGATTTAGTTTTGTTAGTAACAGTTGACTCAGTTGTGTTTGCAACAGTTGACTCAGTTGTGTTTGCAACAGTTGACTTAGTTGTGTTAGTAACAGTTGACTCAGTTGTGTTAGTAACAGTTGACTCAGTTGTGTTTGTAACAGTTGACT